TAGTCGTTCGTGCAAAGACTTTATGGAAAAAGTTACAGTTCTGAAACTAATGAAAATTGTTCATTTTGTTAGGAAGTGAGTAAGTGGATGTATTTAAGCCTTTCTCAAAGTTTACGCTGTTTCACATATGGAAAAATCAGATCCTGGAATGCTTTTACTGCACTTGTGGGACTCGTAATGTTATGCTGCAAAATGCTTTTAACATAATCATTTTTGAAAGAATGAGGTGCAAATATAAAATTTTCATTTTTTAGCATGAAATCACTTTTTCCTCAGGCTTTAGTTATAATTGAATAGTTCCTTGTTGCAAAGGTATTCATAGCTTTTTCTTTTTCTTGTTTTTTTGCAGATTGTCAAGTTGCAAACTTTTATGTGTTTAGCAGGATTTTATACAAGAGACTATTGCAAAGTAGCAAATAATTGTATAGAAAACAATTTATGATTATATGTTTGAGGTCATAGTCTTGGTGAGACGTGAACACATTTCCCAGTTACAACTCTTTGGCAGCCGCTAACAGGTTTTTATCCAGGACTCCTGTCCTCTAGTCAGATTTGTCGATCTTCCCATCAACTTTGACAAGTTTTTCTGTCCCTCTTGTAGGTGTGGATCCTTACAGCACGTAGGTGGTGAAAACGTTGTTTTCAGGGTGTTTCACCTTCGATCTTATTTAGTGTTTTGTAAGTCAGATCATCTGATCCAAGCAGCCTCTCCTCATGTTTGCTGTATCCACCGACTCAACATGTGTATGGGCAAAAACACAACACAAAGATATCCAACAAAAAATAAATAAAGCCAACTCTTGAAAACCCATAATCATGCTGGGGTGCTATATTAGTCAGCGGCTGATCATTTTAAATTCTTCACACTGTTTCCTGCCAAGTGTTTTTCTGAGCATCAGCGAGGGAAACAGCTAGAGGAACCTAGAATAAAGACAAAAATAAAGAGAAATTGAAGATAACTGTGAAAGGTTCGACTCAAATATGTTCACAGAAGCATCCAGACGAACACAATCGTAACATGAATATTTCTTTATTTTTTATTCTTACTCCACAAGAAAATTTTTCACGTGAAACTTATGACCAGTATTTCAGGCTCTTTGCAGATTATTTTGCTGAAACAAGTGTAGAAATTTCTAACTTGTCTGTTTTTCTTTTTTGCAAAGCCAAGCATACTTTCTGAAACTTTATGGCTTTGAAAGTCAATAGTTTCAGGAAGTCATTGAGATTCAGAATCACTCGAAGCAAACGCAGACACCATTCTTCCGAGTTACTATAGGTTACAATCTGCTCTGAGGCTATAAATAGATTGTGATAATAAAGACACGGCTCTGGGGCTTTGACAGTGTGACACAATGGAGATTTTTTACTCTTCCTCATTTTTAGCTTGAATTATTCTCCTGAGTCTCGTAGTTTGGACTAAGAATCATATCATCAACTTCAACTGGTTTCCACTCACAGTGATTTGCTATTTTGTTTTTAGTTTTTCTAAAACTATGGTTAAGTGGGAAAGTTTGTATTCTCTCTACCTAATAATTATTTTTGTCCACCGTTCTTAAACTACAGGTACTTACTTTTTTGTCAATTAGCTTGAAGAAAAACGTGTTAACATTTTATCTGAAATGTTGTAAAAAAAAAAAATGCTTTATGCAAAGAACAAGGCATTCGTGTTTGGCTAAATAATTGGAATAACAGGAAATGAATCAGTAAAAGGGACTTATGAGAAAGCGCACCAACCTTTTTGAAGAGAGAGTGCCCAGCTGTAATTGTGTGTTTTAGTGAGAGGTAATGATGATCACCATCCACTGGTATTAACACAGGTTGACACGGGGGTATTTTAGAAAGTGATGTGTATGGATTAGAATAAGACAGCAGGAGGGTTTCTGCTGTTTCCTGTGATTCCCAGGCAGCTCAGTGGAGACTTCCTCTGCAGGCAGCAGCTGCTGGCAGCGTGACATTCTTAATTTGCAGTTGAGATAAACCAAACAGATTTATTATCAAAGAGAATGCAGTGTTTTTTTTTGTTGTTGTTGTTGGGGTTCTTTTACCCGTCTCGTGCATCAGACATTTTTTGCAGTTTAATTGTCCGGTTAAATAATTCAGCAGCTGTGCTCATGTGCACGGAGCCTCTATTTTGTAGGTACTGCATGTAGCCTTTGTAGAGCTTAGCTGTGCACAAATACCAAGCTGAGAGTGGCTGTTGAACTTTGGAAATGTCAGTCCTTGCTCCTTGCAGAGAGTACTATCTCTTCGGTCCTGATTGTCTTCGTGCACATCTTAAAACTTTCCCCGCTCTGCCAGTGTCCTCCTGAAGTCGTTTGAAGCTACCTCCCGGTTGCAGACAGGAAAAGCTCAGAGGATGCAGGGCCTCAGTTCAAACATGAACATTCTCATTTATTTATTTCTTTAACTAACCTCTGTGGTGTTGTTCTGAAGGCATTTGACCCAGTGATACAGCCATGGTGTACACCCTGAGGGGAAAAAGATGCTGCTGTCAGCACTATGCTGACCCTTTTTGTAATGTATTGCCGTGGAACAGTCTTGTAATGAAAAATTAAACATTTAGTCCTCACTGCAGTGTAAATCATTTGAATAAAACACAGGTACGCTCTGATGCGTTATTTACTTGACTCTCAGCTGGGGTCTCTGCGGTTCTGGTTGTTTAATTTACTTCTCAGAACAACAGAATGAATAAAAATCTTATCCCATGCAGCAAAGGGTAACATGACATGCACATGTTCAGTCACGGCACATGTCATGTTTTTTGGGTTTTTTTCATGAATCTCAGTAGTGAAGAAATGATCAGAACTCAAAGAGCAGGACAGGCCCACTGTGCTTGTGGTGGCTGCTGTTTGTTTCAGCAATGCCTTTGTTTGGGGACCAAGGGGACTACAGCAGCGGTCCCTGGGGTTTCAGTGAACACACGTCTCTGCATTCAGTCTGATTATCTGCACTGACTAATAAAAGGAATATATGACCTGAAGAACACATTTATTGATTATTCATCAGGCTTGTTTACATAACTCTTTTTATTACACAAGCCTGTGTTTAAACTGATATGTTGTCTACGGATGTAGGTCCACAATCCTTCCTATTTTCTTTTCTGGCAAACGAACAACTGGACTTGATTATGAATCAGCAGCCCTATTAACTGCACAGTGGAAATGTTTATGCATTTATATATGCACATTTGCCAAATAAGCAGAGTGTTTCCTTAAGTTTTGGAATGCTTGTGTTATTTTTCTCTCTCCTCCTTGTTCTACTTTGTGCTGCTATTGATCTTCAAGTAAAACACAAAAGCAAATAATTATTAAATCTTCACAATAGATTGTTTTAAGTGCCTGATTCTAAAGAATACAGCAAATAAGTAAAATTAATCTGTCTGTTCAGTGCCTTGCAAGATGATAATTGTTTCCCAAGCCTTCACATTCTTCACATTTAGTGACATTTCAGAAAAACTATTTGAAACATTTTTACTGGGATTGAACTCAAAGTAGCTCATGACTGTGAAGTGGAAAGAAAATAATGCATGAAGGTGAATATAGCAAGTCTGCTCCTAAACTTTCAGAAAGAGAGAAAAAAATAGAAGACATCGAAACCACATTGATAAACATACATTTATATAACATCACAGAAAAGCACAATACATGATTCATTCTGTGGCACCTGGAGCCCAACAGAGTGTATCTATAAAAACCTGAATCCAAACACCTGTGAGTGAGTGTGAGCAAACTTATTCATATAAAAATAGGCATTGTTTAAAGTCACAAGTTCATTTGGGGAGGTGTGAATCTTAGGTCTTGGTATGGTTGAAGTGAACTCTGGTGAGGTTTGATTGCACATATGAATGCCAAGTAGACAGGAGACCGCTCCAAAGGCAGGAAGAAGATTGCAGTGCTGGGCATTCTGCATAAACACAGCTAAAACAAACACGCTGGTCTAGAGTTAGCAGGAAAAATGGCTCATGGTCTTTTGCTAAAAACAAAACTCTGACGTTACTCCATTTATGTTTATATTTTGAGAAGAAGGAAGTTGCACTTAGCGTTCTTGGTACAGTACCACCACAGGTGAAAGGGTAAACAAGTTTTCAAAAGATTTGGTTTATATGACATGTTACAGTGTGAAGGGGAACAGCAGCAGCTGAAGATTTGTGTTGATCTATCATATGAAATCTCAGTACCGTGTACCAAAACGTCAAGAAGTTAGAAGTAGGAATAGATTCATGGTATGCATTTAAAAGGATTTCAAATTCCTCACTCTTTCCCAGAGGAGAGTACGGGAAATGTTACACTGAAAATGTTGCAGAAGGTGATGCTAATTGGCTGTTGTTTACATGTTGCACATAGATGTGCTCACTGTACCCCAGGTCCCTTTCCTGGAATATAAAAGACGGACATGTGAATAGTTCAAATGCATTAACAGTTGAGCATGAGTGGAGGCAAAAAAAAAAGTCCTGCTAATGCCAGCTCTGATCAGCTCATAGAGGTGCTTTCTGTAAAATATGGTTTTATAATTTATCAAATTTTTTTTACCCTGGGCTCATTATTTATTTTACAACTCTCTTCTCCCCTGAATATCTTAATGATACCAGGAGTTTTAGTGAAACTTTAATTGGGGCTGAAGTGACAGACTGCGTGAATACTTACCCCCTCTTTTTAGTCGTTCATTTGCAGAGCAAAGATCCCATTGACTCCCCAGAGACAATTAGTCCCTCTTCCACAGATCAGCTCTCTGCAAACTGCAGTTGTTGACTCTTGACCTTCCCTCGTATCCAGCAGCAGCTCCAAATAAAATAATGTTATCGTCTTTCTTCTCTCAAATCCCTATTTTCTCATATGACACCAGTCTCTGGGGGCGATTTGAGCAGCTCTTGAGTGCCCCCGTGTGGTCAATGCTGTTTACTTGTTTTTATGTCCAAAAAATCAAAACATTTTGCAAACACATCACCTTTAACAAGGTGTCAAGGACTCTTGAAAGTGACATCCTGTCTCCTTTTTCTGCAGGAAGCGCTTTGAACCTCACATGCAGAGCATTTTTTGGCTACAGCAGAGACGCCAGCCCGCTCATCTACTGGATGAAGGGCGAGAAGTTCATAGAGGACCTGGATGAAGAGAGGGTCCAGGAAAGTGACATCAAGTAAGGAACACACAACTTTGCTCTGAGTCATCCTCGCCCCCCAGCTCACCAGTAATGAGGAATTAAAGGCAGATGTGGACAAATTTGCCTCAAAGGATTAAGTGACAATACCAGTAGTTTTTGGACGTTTTAGTTCATTAGCTCTAAATTGCGTAGATCAAAGTAAACCGACAAGAGATCCATTCCCCGCCTTTAATGTAGCTTTTGTTTTTAATTTGTTTCTCTATGCTATGAACACTGTGCACAGACTTGAAACTCGTTTTGGGTCATTATTCATTTGTTTTGACACTTTTTTTTGGTTCTTCATAAACTGAAAAAGTGTCATGAATAAGGAGGAAAAATGACTTTCTATGTGATGTGATGACACGCTGGGAGATCCTTACATGCTGAGGTCACATGCAGAGCAATCCTGATGAAAATGTCAAACATCTTAAAATGTGGCATAATTTCTCACAGAAAATCCCAACCTTAATTTTATCTTAATTTATCTTAAGAAAAAACTGAATAGTTTTTTTCAACAGTAGTTTTTTTTTTCTTTCAATAATTCAAATGCATATACACCCGCAGTAATCAGTAGATGAAAATTTACCCATCATAGAGTTGACTAAAAAAAGCGTGATGATGTTAAATAAACCTAAATAAAATTAATTGCGACACAGCATCAACACTTTTGATCACATCTTATTTTCGTCATCATAATGATTGTGATTTGCTGCAGCTTTTCGCCATGCTGGTCATTTCACTGCATCACATGTTGCGTCATAATTTTTCCATTTTATCAATGTGATGCTCATCTGTCAGCAACTCACTGTGTTTATCTGGTGAAACGACCAACACAAAAACGGCAAACGCGGAAAAAGCAATCAGGATAAGGAGCAGTGCCTGCTGTTGGCACAGCTCTATGCAGGTAGCAGAGAATATCTCTCCTATCTTACCTGGTTAACCCTACAGGAGTCATTCCCGGAGGGGTCAGACTGACTCCACTTGCGCTTTTATGAGTTTTATTTATTCATTTTATTATTTTATTTATTCATAGTTTTGGAGGCTGACAGGAAACACCCATTGCGTCATTGCAGTGATATCTACCTTGCTTTCCCCTACGTCTACAGGAAGCTTAAGAAAGTCTTAGGTTCAGTAAAGGTCACTTCTCGTAACATTTTGTCACATTAGGAGCTCTCTTAAGATTCTTAGTGAATACGGCGCCATAACTCTGTTTTGGAGTAAAAAACAAAAATTGTTGAAGAATTATGATCAAAAATAAAATGGTTGCATTTAGGACTTTTAGTTGCACTTTAGAGGTCAGGTTTATTGTTCAGAACATTTTGTCTCTCTGCAATTCCTCTATTTAAATAGTAACACTAGTATAACAAGACTGATAATATATGTCTCATTGGTCAGGTTATCTGCTTGTGTAACCCTGCAGCAGTTTAACAAAGATGCTTTGAGCAGCGTTTCTTTAATAAGATAAATGTTCTCAAGTTTTTACTTCATCACTCTCCCATTTTCTTTTACTTTTACAATTTGAAGCATTTCAAGACAGCCAAATCTTCCTTTTTCATAAGTGACAGAAAATTGTTGTCTCATTTAAGCTGGCTGACTGGCATTGTTCTACAAACAATGGGGGAGGGGCAGCACTGCAGAGAACACTGGCAGAGAAAATGCTTCAAACTTTAAACTGCAGAAAATTAATGGTGGGGAATTTTAGCAGTTTTGAAACTATAATTTTTGTAAACAGTGGCATAATATAACACTGGCAAGAAAATTATCCCAAATTTAAAGTTTTGTGTTTTGTTTTTTGTCATTTTTTTCCACCTGGAAAAAAGTATTTGTGCAGTTTGTAGTAAATTTGGTCCAGAGCAGATATGTTCATCTGTTTTATCATAAAATCTCTCTCTGACAAGCAGATCAAGAACACATTTGCTGCTCTCCACTAGCGATATAACATCTTTAAAAATAATGCTGAGCTCTTTTTTATGAGCTTTGCACTGTTTGGTTTTATTTTAGTGCAGCCTCTAAACTTTCTTTCCTTTGAAACAAGAGTATCTTCATGTCAGTCCCTCCTCCTAAAAACATATAAAGAAGTCTATTGTGTCGTCCCGGTGCATATTTCCCATCAGGGCTGTTTGCAGAGGATGCAGCCCCTTCTGATTGTTAGCTACTGCCTTTTTTTTTTTTTTTTTGCACCACACTTTCTCCTTCTCTGCACTACCTATTGCTGCAGATGGGCCATGAGGACCAGAGGAGGAGAGGAACACAGAGTAAGAGCAGAAGAAGTAGACAGATGAAGGAAACATGTTCCAAGTCGCTGCAGAGCAACGTTAACAAAGACGCATCTGCGATGATGAGTTTTCTCTTGCGTTGATGCACGCATGCAAGAGAAACAAATTGCATTTAAAGCAGATCCTTTTTCTTCTCTCTTCCTCTATTACTCCCTGACAACAAGATTCTCCCCACTCAAAGGCTTAGGGCTTCTCTGCTCAATAATTCATACCCGGACTTCATGCAGCAGATCAATAATATATTCAATCATCCGTTCTCTGTTGTTGAAGCTGATACCCTGGGCTTTCTCGGATCCTGCTTTGATTTTATTTCCATACACACATAGCCAGAGATGAAGCCAGGAAAACTCCAGGGGGTGTGGGGGGAAGATAGAAGATAAAGCTGAACTAATCTGTACACTCCATGAGGTTAAACTCTGTGCCCCTGATATGATAACCTGTATCTTTCTAAAGGGTTAACATCTTGTCATCACTCTGGCACATTGGGTTTTATTGCTGACTTGTCAGCAGCCAAACCTGAGTGCCGAGAGGAGCAGTCAAACCTTGTGCTGCTTCGGGTTTCTGCAGGCATTTATTTACCCAACTCAGAGCCTATTGATTTTGGAGACGGGAGTTCATTTCTGTGCTAACCTGAGCCCATAAATTCTCATTTGTGCCACTGGGACAAGACTGCCTCTGTTATCGTGGCACGGTTGGCTGGACATTAGCATAGCATGCTGAGATTAATAAATTAACAAAACAAATCTGGCTCAGCATAATGAAGTAGGTGGTCGATAAATTATTGAGCATGTTGTGTTGGCGTTTTGCAGGTGAGTGTATGAAAGCAATGGGTGAAGTGGAAATTGGTCGCTAAGTGAGCGAGCACTGTGGTATTGTTTGTGATTCAAACAAAGAAAATTCAAGTTGACAAAATGTTCGTCGTGTAATCATCCTGTTGAGGCGACAGAATCATCAGACCTGTTTCCATAAACTGGTCTCAGTTATGATTATAAGATATGAATCATAACATAAAGAAAATGAGCTGATGGACAGAATGAAATAGTTGTAAACATCATCAGTAGACAGAAAGGATAAACATGATTGTGAGTGCTGAAGTGGGAGTGTCAGAAAGAGTCTGAGTTTTTTAAAGAGACGGCGGCCAATGTCAAGGTTTCAGATATGGTTATGAAGCAAATTTATTTCGTCATTTTTTTCAAAACATGCTGCATTTTTCACACCTAAAAGTAACACGCTTACTTGATTGAGCAATAAAATGGCAGTATGTGACTTAAAAATACATAATATCCTACTTAACCCAGAACAGGAATCAAACATATTAGTTAAAAGAAAAAGATCCAGGAGATACTCAGCCCAGAATCTAGAGAAATTAATCATTACCTTGCATCAACATTTAGCATTAAGCTTGTAAGAACTGTAGAAACTCCTTTTAGATTACAAATCTAGAACAAACTTGGAAAGTACCATCTATCAGAACTAGAATCCAGAGAAACCACTACAAATTACAGACTATTTATTCTTATTCTTGGTAAATATGAGGAACTCAATATGTAGTTCTATACTTTTACCTGTTTGTCTAGTTTCATTTGTAGTTTTGTTTGTATTTTCTTCTAATTCATATTAAGTACTTTGAACTGCTTTGTTGCTCAAAATGTCCTGTGTAAGTGAAATTACCCCACCTTGTCTTACAGCTTAAAAAAAACTAAATGACTTGGTTATTTAAACTTGTATTTAAATAACTATTACAATTCAGTTAACACATTTGAGATAATTATGCTGCTTAGATTGATAGATATGTAATTAACCCTTTTGTTGCATGCAGACAAGATCCCCAGACTAAGCGGTAATGTCTGTGAAAAAGTGTTTGTGTTGCTAATGGTACTTGAACATCTGCTGCAACAACCACCATTTAAAGTTATTGAAAAGCCGCCGCTCGAGTTCAAGCTCTGACAACCTGCTGTGGAGGCAGCAGCGGAAGGACCTTTCTCATCATGTAGCATTATGGATATGCTGTTCCAACAAGTCCTTGAAATATGAGAGTGTTTACCAAACTGCTGGGTGGAGGTCTCTTGGAGATAATAAAAAAAAGGAGAATCAGTCTGAATCTCAGCCTCCCTGGAAGAACTTACCGGTAATGGTTTTTCAACTCATGTGAGACCGAATTAAATATCTTATTTCATCAGATTCTTACAAACATTTTACAGTCATAGCTTTAAAGTTTATTTCATCCTTTTTGATACTTTAGTTGATGTTTGCTTCCCAGTTTCTGAAATGTTTTGACACCTTTTGTCCAGTTCAGAGTGATTGGTCTAATACATTTGACAGCAAAGTAATTATACTTCCTGTGGAGGCAACACCTGTTACCTCCACCATCATGTGCAGTGGCAAAAGTCGTTTTAGCTCCTCTCTGTATAAATGGAACCCATCAACCCTGTTTTCCATGTCAAGTCTCCACAAGATCTCCATTTGAGGCCCGGGTGGTCTTTTTCTACCAGCTTCTAGAACAGAAAACTCCCTTCGCGTGCCCAAGCTGTGATTATGTGAAACAAGAGGCTTCAAAGTGGTCACCACTCCCTGGAGAGCCATGAATTATTCCTATGTCTTCATCTTAAGCCCACCCTTCTTGCCACGCCACAACAACTTCAGGATCAGCAGCCCTGCCTTAAACTCTCTCCTCACTCATGATACATTTTCAATTACAGTTGCCAAAACCTCTCCAACAAGCCGTCGTTGTGTGCAGTTTATCGGCTCGAAGGCAAGAGAAGTGAGATTCTTGAGAGTCATTAACTCCCCACTCATTCCTCCCAAATACACTCGAGCTGGCACGCAAACACTCTGCCCTCGTCCCGCTCCTCCTTCTCATCATGGCGAATGATAGAGACATACACACACAAACAGCGGAGTCGCGCTTTCTCATTTGTGCTTTGTTTCCTTTGTCACATCATTTGTGCTGAGGGTGCTGTAAAAGTGGGCTAAGTAGTGTGTCTGAGATATGAGCGAGCGTCGTCTCCCTTTTCTCTACTCCATCAGGCTCAAGCAGCCCAGCGGGGGAGAATGTGGGTGGAGGGGGGGTTAGGATGGCAGGGCACTCATTTACTTTATAGAATATTACTTTCTCTCCATCTTGCCGTTACCATGGCAGCCGCTATAAAAAGAGTTTCTTCTCATCGCCATTATTTGATTCCCCCCCCACTCACACAAGCTCAGGAAGATCCCTTATTGATTTTCATTGCTCACTTATTTTTAGTGCAGAGAAACGAAATTAACATTCCATGAACTGCTAAACAAAACAGAAAGGGGGTCTTCCACTGAATGCGCTTGTGCCACATAGCTTGACATGTTATGTAAAGCTTAAGATCCATATAGCGATTAGGACTGATCCATCCGTCATTGTCAATAGGTGAACTAGGGATACTAAGGTATCGATACCCCAAGCAACACTCACCAGCTATATCTGTGGGTTCCCAAGCCACTCCCAGGCCAAAAGAGGCATATAGTCCCTTCAGCAGGTTCTACATCTGCACAGGGGCTTCACCGAGCAGAAAACCTCAAAGATCCAACCCCAAAACCTCCTCAACTGACTCGAGCAGAGGACCAGGCACTCCACTTCAATCTGGGCATTAGATGAACTCATTCTGGTTACTTTGCATTCCGCTTTCTGCTCCAAAGCATGCTGAGAGTCATGCATGACCGCCTTTTCAACTAATACATCTTGAGATCCTGCCCATGAAAACCACAAACAACATAAGCGGCAGATCTGGCTGAGTCCAATACCTCATAGAACAAGCGCAACTTCATGCTAAGATTGTAGGCACTCTTTTTACTTTAGATTCAATCCCGGGGTCCCATGCTCTTGCAGTAGTTCCCACAAAAATATCTCGGGGCACACATTTGTAAGTTGTGTCCAGATCTATAAAACACATGCAAACCGAACAACCAAACTTACTTGACCTCCTTCGGAAATGAACTCAAGGTTTCATAATCTGGAGGCACCTCCATTGTTCTTCCATTTGTATAATGAACTTTGGACTAAAAATTCAGGCTGATGCATAAATCAAAACTACCTAAACAATTTTTTATCAGCTGTGTGAAGCGAAGCACATTTTGTTGATTTCTGTTTGTGTATTTGTTTTGCAGGCTTGTCAGGGAACATCTCGGAGAGCAGGAAGTGGCCATTTCCTTGACTATTGAGTCTTTGGAGGAGGAGGATTTAGGAAACTATTCCTGTCATGTGGAAAATAGTCACGGGCATATCAACGCCACCGTTCAGATCTTCAGGCGGGGTAAGAACTACTGGCTATTTCCCATTTCAAATGTAAAGCATTAATTTTTTTCTTTCTAAGTTTTTTCCCCAAACAATTTTTCTTTTCTTGCTCACAGTCTCACTGCACCAGATATTTTACATCAGCTCTCTTTAAGATAAATCATATTTAAAATAATCAAAGGCAGCTGCATCATTTCATCAAACATTTTTTCCTGTTGGTTTATGTATATTTACCCAAACTTCATGATTGCATTTGGTACTGTCTTATCTTCTGTGTTTGCACCAGCAGCTTTGTAGCTATTTTGGCTCCCTTGCATGACTTGTCTGAAGCTGTTTTCATGCTCTAGCTGTCACCCCACAAGAGAGGTAATTTGATGGCTGTTTAAACAGCAAATTGGTCTGCAGCTTTTCCCAACAGGCCAATACATCCAGCATACAATTACATTTTAAGTCTTTATACGTCTGTTTCCCCACTTTAATCTCTTTCTCTGTGATCATCCTTTGTAGACGGCCCAGTTTCGTTTGAGTGGTCTTTGCGGACCGCAGACGGCTTCATTTAACTCTCTTTGTGAAAGGAGAGGGATGCAAAGTCAAGCTTTCTCTGTCTCTCTCATCCGGATCTTGATGTTCATTTCATGTTTTTTTTTTTTTTTTTTTTTGTTTTTTTCTCAAAGAACCTATTACTTACAAGCCCTGCAGCAGGTCTAACGACACTGGAGACACTTTGGAGACACAAAGTCTTTGTGTCTCCAAAGGATTTGATGGCGAGTATCGGTCAGTGGGACTTCAACAACTCTAGGAGAGAAGATAAATGGTGGTAACCAGCTAGATGCATTACAATTATGGGAAAAGACAATGGAAAGTATATTTGAACATATTTCCAACAACAATGCTTGAATGAAAAATATCTTCACATAGAAATAGCAAAGTATATTTTCACTGGATTTACTTTTTATGCAAAGGGTTGTTTAAGGCTGATGAACACAGTGGTGCACTTATTGCACCCATTGTAAAGATAGGTAAATAGCTTTTCACAGTGTTGTGCAAATGTTTGGAAAATCTAATCTATATGTTCTAGCAAAGTTATTCCTCAAGGGGAGAAAAAATGCATTCTATGAAAAAAAGGCAAATATTTATCTCAAAAAGTCAGGATGTAGCTCAAAGAAAACTGCTATTTGTGTAACATCTATTATATAGTTTTAAAAGCAGTAGTTTTAAAAAGATACATAAACTCTTGCTCTTATAAAGTAATGCCTGTTTCCACAAACACCTGGTCAAAATGTGAGTCTGCTGAACTCATAGGAAATTCTTCAGTCCCAAACTCCTACAAATGTATGTAAACAATAAAATAAAACAGGTTTGTGATGATGTGCGGAAAGGGGAGTGTTGAATAGAGTAGGATCTTCTTAAAGGGACAGAGGCCAATTTCAAGGCATCAAATTGCAAAGTCAAATTTCTTTTTTAGGTCATATTTACTCATACAACATTTTTATAACAAGTTAAGGTAACACTTGCTTGACTGTTTTATAAAATGTGCCTAGAAAATATATAACACTGCACCTTTATAAAAAAACTTTGTGACAAATAAATGGGAACACATTTATTTTGCCACTAAAGAAAGTGAGCAAAATGGTAAGCTTACTGTTGGAGAACTTCCCTAAAAAGGTGCCTTTATATAGACACCAAGTCTCTGTTACAATTAGATGTTTTCTACATGTCAACTTGTTGTTGGGGTGCCATACTAAAAAATTAATAAATACATTTCTGTCCAACATGACAAGCATTTGGATCTTGCTAAAACTATTGGGACTTTAAGTAGAGCTTCAGTTAAATCAGACAAAACACTTCAAGTGGGTCTGGCATGAAACAAACAATAAATCATTGGCAAAGGACCCCACGCCTTACGCCATTGAGTTTGGTAAAGATATAGATCTGATACCTTTTTCTTATCCAAAATCCTTGCAACTTGAACTTGGTGAAGGTGTTAAAGTAAAAGAAATTTTTCAAATAAAAATCTGTAAATCTCTTAGTAAACTGAAAATATATCAAATAAATAGCCGATTGATGATTCAAAGCATATGGCCAAAGCAACATTGGAAATGGTTTATCACGTACAAAATCAACCATCTGTTAATTTTGTGTCAGTCCCACAAATGTGTCCCACACAACACCAGTGGGTTGTGCATGTTATCAACTGCAGTGGTTCAATAAATCTGGCAGTGGACATTTTGTGTAGCTAAAACATTTGCTAATTCCCTTTCTGTAGAAACGAAAGGAACATAAAGGTGTGTTTCATTTCCAATTTATCAGTGACATTTTGCTACAGCAATATTGGATGAATTTATTTTAAGAGTTACAAGTGGTGCCAATTGATTCATGAAATTAATTGGTAAGACCTCGTCTGCCATGTTTTTACAAATTTTAAGACTGGCAGAATTGTAAAATATAACGTATCTCAAACTAAAACATAAAATAATACGTTTATTTAATTCTTGAAATAATATTGTTCAGATAAACATTAGGTCTAGATCATTTTAAACAAAATGCAAATGCCTAACCGAGGGTAGACAAGATTTAACATAAGATCGCATTGTTTCTATTGCAGAAGATGTGTGTCTTTGCTCTGTCTGATAAAATAGAGAGAGCATTGCAGCTGGCATGGCAGCCACGCATTGTTAAAGCCCACAGTGTGACAGAGATAAAAGGTGAACGTGTTCTAGCTGAGCCAACCAGGTAAATGCTGCTTTAATACACATCATAACTCATCCCCAAGCCAGGTCTCGGGGGAGACATGGAGGCGATAATAGAGAAGAGAAATGAACTGAAAAGGGAAGGAAAAACGGCAGCGAATGCAGATGGAAAGGCGACTGACAGCAAGATGAGTAATCTGAAACCCGTTGTTTTGAAAATGCCGCCATCCATGTCCGGAATTGTTACAGTCCCACTATGGATGACAGCGAGAGTGTAGAGCTGTGTCATTGCTGCGCTATGAAAAAGAAATGAAGCCCATTTCTCATTAGATCCCCCCCCCACCTCATGTCTCCCTGCAATGTGCTCTCTCATTTTTCTCAAACTCGTTATGAGCCCTGTGTCTTTGAAGATTGATTCTACTTTGTTCTGACTTGAGCTCAGATTGTCCGGCTTTTTTGGCAAATGTAAATGTGCCCTCTAACTGCTTCAATTCCCCGACTTCAACAGTTCAATACTGAACAAAAAGAGAGACGGGCCCCAGGTCCAATTTGGTGCAGAGACAATACGCTAACACGCAAAACTGTGAAAGGAGCTTAAGCTGTGATTGTGTAAGCAGTTTCTTTTTTTTTTTTTCATATTTTTTGGTCTGTGTTTCTTGTCCTCAGCAGAGCTCATGTACACAGTGGAGCTGGCAGGAGGGCTGGGAGCGATTCTGCTGCTTCTCATCTTCCTCATCTCCCTGCACAAATGCTACAAGATTGAGCTGATGCTTTTCTATAGGAGGCACTTCGGCAGCGAGGATGTAGATGGAGGTAAGGGCAACCCGCTCATCTGAAAAGACAAAACATCTGCCTTCTACTATCAAGATTTCCCTACACACACGCACATCCATCTATCTATAGATATATATATATACAGATCTATACATGTAGATAGATAGATAGACAGACAGACAGACTATATATATTATATATATTTATACATATATTCAGTTGTGTTTGACCTGAACCGACTGCACGGCAGATATTAAATCCTTTCTCTACTTTTTCCTAAGTGGCCAGGGACTACTGCTGCCATGGCTCCATTGGGGGAAGACAGGAAGGATTTTCAATTTGTTGCCCATTTAAAAATAGATCAGTCTCAATATGTCAGGGAAGGATGCTCATGCTGCACCAACGAAGGCCATGTAGCCACACAGGGGGACTGGACAGGCTAGAAACAACCTCCATGAGTGACAAATAGGAGCCAAATCCAGCCCGAAATTGTGGAGCAGCAGCTTGTTTTCTTTGCACAACATAGTTAACTTTTCCTTCAGCTAAAGAGTTGTCTGTTTATGTCCCAGTATCTCTCTCTGTGTCCTTAAAAATTCCGGAAACAAGAAACTCACTGCTTTTTTTCCCCCTCCACATACATGAATTATCTATTACACGCAGTTTTGTTGACTCAAACTTCTACATGATTAAGTCACACTGTCAGGGACAGCTGATACAAGCGGTTTTGATTCCTCCAGCTTTGCTCTGTGGTTAATTTGAGACGTCTGTTGCTAATTTGAAGGCAGTGTTTGATGTTCGGATCCAATCGAGCGCGGGTCTGGCCCTTTCCAGGGAGTCTCAAAGCTGCGCCTGCTTCCCCAAAGAGTTTTTGAAAAAGCCCCTCTTCTCTTTTTTGGCTGTCCCACATTCACAGAGTTCTACAGAGAATAATGACTAGCACTCACTGAACATGTCACCACCACTGTGCTTCTTTTATTCTATTTTCTGCCTTTTCAGTTCTTCTCACTGTCTTCTGAGAAATCATTTTGAGGTGTGTAGCAGTGCATTGCTTGAGTCTTGATTTGGTCGTGTTTATATCTAACCCATTTTTTTCTTCTTTTTTTTTTTTTGTTTTTTTTTTCCGAAGAGCACTTCATGGCCTAATGGATGTGACACCACTGGGAATCAGTGTTTGTACTCTGTTGTTTACGACAAGCCCTTCTGTTCCAAATAAAACTGCTGAGCAGAAAATAGTCAGGTGTTATTTTGGAGAAGAGTTGCTCCAGCTCTTACAGAAACAGACTTAGTCCAGTGTGAGGAGACTTGACTGTACAATCAGAAAGTTTTAGCCTCGCACGCTTCAGGCCAACTCTTGATAGTCAAAATTAGGATCACAAACTAGACAATCTGTTGTGATTAAATGGATAACTTTTATTTAGAAATTGAAATGTTTGCACCTCGTCCTGAACACGACATGTTGCTGGAAGAGATATTGTATCTCAGAGGAACATTCCTGGTTAAATAAAATAAAGTTGTTTCCTGACATTTTGACCACAGCTTTAAAGCACCTAAAATAATTACAAATAAAATTGAAATACCTCTTTGTGTGTTTTCTCAGATTTTATAATTTGATAAACAATGTCTTAGTGATTTTTCTCTTCAATGTAGAACTAATCAAATTCAGATTTACCAATCTAGGTATTTTACACAGCACTAATTCGCAGCAAATAAGACGTTTTATAAGAGAAACAGCTCTAAATTATATATAGACGTATAAAATCAATTTCATCCAATCATGCAAACAAATTCAGTTATATGCGCTCTGATTTGATTAAAGTTAAATTAAATGCCAATGTAAACACAGTGTTGTCAATAAATAATTTTATATGATGACAACAGAAGCAGAAGCTTAGTAATATATCTAGAAAAATGCTATGAGTTCTTTGAACAGAAGCAGGTGGAAAAAATTATAATTTAGCATATTTTTTCTAACTCTTCCTTGCAATGAAACCGATTAATAAGACATTAATAGGCTTTAGCAAATAAAAAATTTAATAGTAGCCCAAAATGTATTGATACATGATTTTTACTCTAAAGAAAAATTTATGCAAAATAGGGTCAATACTCCATCTAATGTCATTACAATTTTTCTACCTACTAGAATTTCCAAGTATAATACAACAAATAAAAACCTCTCTACCATCAAATTCAATACCTAGATTCACATCATCACCACCAAAAACAAAACAAAAAAACACTTTTTGTGCTTACATACAGCAACCTCTGCTCCATTTTTTACATATTTTTGAAAGTATTAATGTTGCAGACAACATTATTATTCACAGTAAGAGCTGGAAACAGGTGGAGCAGAGGCTTAAGAGATGGAGGTGTGCACTGAAGTGAAGAGGAATTAAACTAGAAGGATGGAAGATTATAATATTCTGGGAAAGAAAGGTGGAATGAAGCTGCAAGATGTAGGGATTAAATACTCGGGTTCAATCCTCCAAAGCAACGGACACGAGAGGCGTAAAAGAGATGAGTGTGTGGGCGGCTAGTGATGGAACAATATCTGCCAGTGAAATGAAGGGGTTACAACTTGGGAGTTGGATCTACTATGATGTACAATTCAGAGACAAAATTAAGATATAAGGGTGACATCTCAAAACTGACAGACTGGACAGCAAGTCAGAAAAGTGGGGAAAGGAGAGTCTATTCTGGAAGGAGAAGCGAAAAACTACAGTGGAGTTTTATGGATGGTCAGAGAAAAGAAGTCGGCTGATGTTCGATGGAAAATGGGGATTAAAATAAAATCGGATGAGTCATATGATTATGTCCTCTAAAGTTTTGCGACACTGATTAAACATACAAGAAAAAATGACACTTTTGCAGCTTCTCCACAGCCTGATTAGTTAAATATTAAGAATTTGATTGAAAAGTTGGCTTTGATTTGAAAGTTTGCACCAAGTTACAGGTCATTAGTATTTCCATATGAAAATTTTACATTCTCGGTTTAACATGTATACAGCAACATGTTTTCTAAGAATTAGCATAAGAACATATTCGTACCAGATATAATGTAAATACCAGCTGCTCAGGCGAGGACTTGGTAAGTGACTTGTTCCAGTTTTATTCTTGGCATAATTAATTTCTTTTCATGGTTTCTGATAGATGTAGGGAAAAAAAACAATACCTCCTTATTTGTGAGTCAAAATCAAGAAGATCTTATATTTCGCTCTGTAAAAATATAAGCTTTGCAGCTTGTCTGAACATTTCCACTGAATGTTTTTGAATGTTTGTGTGGTTTTAAATTACTCCAACCGTGAGCTGCCTACACCACTTTTTTCACAAATCGCTGTCTGTTTCGCTCTCTTTTTCAGAGAACAAAGACTATGATGCATATCTTTCATACACCAAAGTGGACCCTGACCAGTGGAGTCAGGAAACCAGGGAGGAGGAGCGCTTCGCCTTGGAAATACTACCCGATGTGCTGGAAAAACATTACGGCTACAAACTCTTCATCCCTGATCGAGACCTCATTCCAACAGGCAGTAAGCGCTCTGACTTGTGTGTGCTCACATGTTGACAGTGGGGTGAAAGCTTGCAATGGCGTGTGCAGAGCATTTGCTTTTGCAAATGATGTTGTTGTTTAGCACATTGCTTTGCGCGTTGTCTTGGTCTATACTTGTTTTTTTGTGCTTGTCTTCACTGTTCTTCACCGTCTCATTTTGTGTGCTGTTAAAACAAATTTAAACTAAGCTCTCACAATTGCACCACTTAGCCATAACATTATGACCAATCAACATTTAGAGCTACCATTTCCATTTCCATTTGAGCAGAACCTCTAAAATGTGCACATATATATATATGCAAATGTTGTGGATCCAATGTGGAATCCATCACATTTGGATTGGCGGATGTGGACTGGAGGACTGACCTTTTTTTTTTTTTTTTTTTTTAGCTGTTCTTTCATTTTCATTTCCTTCTCCTGACTTTTCAATTCATATTTGCTTCAAGTAGACAATAATAGACCAGTGGGTCATAAAAACCACTGGTCTTTAAGAATCAGATGCTCTCTGTTCAGTCTGTAGGTTTCACAAATATCTGTAAATATCCGTCAACAAGGGCAGGTTTTCCCCTAATAACATACCCAATATCTGAGTTAAAGAAAAAAAATCCTTCCGACTCCCCTTGTGAATTAAATGGAGTTGCAACGTTTGACTAACAAATTCATATTTATCAATTTAGATCAACTTTGATCAGTTGTGAACTTTTCACTACTTGATAAATTTTCCTTTGTTGTACCTTTTTAAGTAAATCTTTACCACTGCAGAAGACATCTGCAGTGGTAAAAAATATTGTATACTGAAGTTTGCAATATACACTTTTCTAACAAGTCTTCTTATAGGTCAAAAACTTTTCTCCTTTTTTTTTTTTTTTTTTTTGCTGCCATGCTTATCCTGCCCACACCCAGATGCTTCTGCAATAAAATAACAATTTTTAGCTGCTCAGTGGTTGTAATATTATGGCTAACCTCAGTTAATTGTAGATTATTATTTCAAATATCCAAAATATTTAGATCGAAACTCTCCGCAAGGATCTTTTTTCTTGCATCGTATCAAATCTCTTTGGACTGAAGCAGAAGATCACAGCTCTCCTCCTTGGCTCTTCCCTAACTGGCTACTACTGAAGGGGGAATACAGTATGCAGTGAGCACTGGATGCTGACATATTGAGCAAATTCATCATCCCCTTTGGTTTCCATCCATGCAGCAATAAATCCATGAAAATTCTGTGTGAACATATTCTCATGCGCGCTAACTCGTGCCTGCTTCGCAGTCTGTTTGTGCCAGTGGTACACAGTGTGCTCCACTTTGTAGCGATGCTGCGTGTTTGTACTGTAGGCTTCATGTGAAACAGATGAAACGCAAACACGTCCTACTTGGTCCAGAAAGAATTAAACATCAGTGGGAAATGTGGGAAGGCTCTGAGCCGCGCCGACCGAGCCGCCTCTATCCTTTAATCAAAAGAAATTGCCGCCAGCATCAGTGCCAAACAGAATCACTGCAGATGAATGTCCAATCAGGGGAAACATGCTATGTGATTAATTATATGTGAAGTAAAAAGATGAGCGTGAGGAAGCGCTGCTTACTTTTTATGGCGGTGTTTAGCAGTTTTGTGTGTCTGTGTCTGCATTGTGTACTGCCTGTGACCTGAATGTTAAAATGTTTATGTTTAGGTCTCACCAATGAGCATTACCAGGATGACACACGACTTTTTGGAGGTACTCACCCTCAATATTTTTCTCTTGCATTTAGCTGCTTTCATTTTCCCGCACCTTTGGATACTGCAACGCAATGCAATATTAGACATTAATGCTAAATATAACACGTCTGAAAAGGCTCATGTAATACATGATATAATTGAGTCTGTAAAATATGTATTTTCTATATACTCTACAGCCATGACTAGTAATGATTTCATGTTTTTTTGTTTTGTCCCTTTTGAATCGACTGATAGTACTTGCTACAGAAAGGTTAATTTATTTCAGTAACTCAGTTAAAAAATGAAACTCATATGCTGTACAGATTTGCGACACAGGGTGATATAACTGAGGAAAACCCAAAATTAATTTTCTAAAAAAATAGCAGAACAGTATATAAAATCCATGTTAACATGTTAAGTTTTCCAGCAGATGGCCATTGACTCCCTTCACAAGGAGGCAAAGCCTCAAACAATAATTGCTGAACAAGCTTGATTTTTAAACGGGAAAGTCGATTGAAAGAAAAAAAGATCCACCAACAAGGAAAGCTCCAGCTTTCAGTGGATTATGAAGCAAAACAAGATGTTTGGGGAGATTCACAAGCATGTGATCTGCAGCTGGACTCAAAGCTTTAAGAAAGAAAACACACAAATTTGTCGCAGGCGCTACAGCTGTCGCATTCCTGAACCAGAACATCAGAGTCATTTTACCTGAACTAACTAGAAAAAGAACTGGGCTGTTGCATGTCATTTGTAAAACAAGACCCCAGGGTCTGGAGGAAGAGTGGAGAGGCTCAGAATCCAAGTTGCTTATAGGTCCACAGCTGCTGGTGATTTGTGGAACTATGTCTTTTGTCAGAGCAGCCATCTGTTAGGCAATTTTAGAGCACCTTGTGCCTTCTCTCTGCTGACAAGCTTTATGGGAGAAGGTGATTTCATTTTCCAGCAGGACTTGGCACCTGCCCACACTGCCAAAAGTACCAATACTTGGTTTTATTACCATAGCTCTGTGCTTGATTGGCCGACAAATTTTCCTGACCTGAACCGTGTGAAGAATCTGTCAAATACTGTCGAGAGGAAGGAGAGAGACGACGTGCTCTCAAAGGCATGTGGGCAGAAACTGAATTTTAAGTTTTTATTAGCTGTGAAATGCAATCATTAAATAAAACTACATTAAAAAAACACGTTTAAAACAGAACACTAAGAAATAAACAGGGTTATGTGAGTTTTACTTGTGGAATTGAATTGCTGAAGAAAATGAACTTGTTCATATTCTGTTTGATGGAGATGCACCTGTTACAAATCACAGTCTAAAAATCAGTCCATCCTCAATTTGTTTAAAACAAAAGACATAAATACCTCCTTTGCATCAGTATTCAGCTCTAAACTTTTTGCATCTCACGTCTTCTACAGCTCAATTAAAACTCACAGAAGCCAAGCTGAGTATAACCCACAAAACTAGATGGAGGTCAAGTTTTTAAAACAAACTCTTGCAGCTAAATGAGATTCAGAGAGTGAAAACTAAGCCATTAGATGGAGAGAAGTTCCATTAGACTCGGGAGACAGAATTATGTCCAAGACAAAATCTTTAGGAAGGATAACATCACTTAAAATGCCCGAAAGCCTCACTCTTGGTAACATAAAAGGCCTTTAGAAACGGCCAAGGGCTCCTATACATTTGTCTGACCAGTCAAAGTGAGCAGACAGGGGTGATGGGCCTCGCTCAGCCCATTAACCAACGAGCCAAACTTTGGAAAAGAGAAATGAAGGAGAAATTTAGTGACAGAAAAAGCTTTACTGCAGAACTTTTGTGCAGTTCTCAGCGAAACATGTGATCAGCTAATTAGAAATCCTAAACAGAAAACAGGAAAAAAAAGAAAAAGGATATAATCTGTCAGTTTTTAATGAGTTGTGAATGAAATATTTGACACCAGGACAAGCATGTTGGAGGTGTTGGGATATTTTCCAGCAGGACCATCTGAGAGAGGAGTCAGAAGTTATAGGGGAAACTGGAACAACCTTCACTAAAACCCAACTGAAGTCCTGCACAGACCTAGTTGAAATCTAAATCTATAAATATTTCAGGTGTCTTCTGTCAGACCTGAAGTTTTTATCCACTTACGCTCTGCATCTAATGTGCCTGAGTCGAAACATTTCTGCCAAGAAAACAAAGTAAACTTTGTGTTTCATTCCTTAAAGACTGAAAGCATCTACTGCTGCTTAGAGTCTTTAACCAAGTCCTAATTGAAAGGGATGGATTCTTCCCCTAACATACATTCATTTCGGTTTCAACTGAAACAGATTTTCAAGTACATCAAGCAACAGTATGAAGTACAAACTTTTGATTATTTCTGATTTTATTTTTCTTCTTGTCCACACAGGGTCAACATTATACAGACACGCACAAATATAAACATGCACCCATCTCATTAGATATTCAAAAATCCTTAGGCTCCTTAAGCATCTTGTGATGCATTGACTGAATATTTTTGCAACCTCTAAAAGCTCTGATATGATTCTCAATGACTGTTTTATCTGCTGTTCTTGGGCACAGGCCTGATTTTTACTTGTATTCTGCTAATTTTCAAATGGTTTCCAGTCTGAGCCAATCAAGCTACTTTATTCATTTCAAGGCCAGTGTTGATGGATGTTTTGGATCATCGTCCTGCGTCCAGTCGTGCCCAAGTCTCAACCTCTACCTGTTGGTTTGTGTGTGGGTGTAGTTGCTCTTCTTCCTGATGCCATCTGTTTTGAACCAGGCACCTCTACCACTGGCAGTGAAGCAGCATTACAACATCATGCTTTAATGTTTCAGCTCTCACTGCCTGAATATATTTAGTTTTACAAAAATAAACTTTTGTGGCACATATTTGGCCGTCCTAACCTCCAAATTGGGATTAGGATGGCATATTTTGGCAGAATTATGACCACAAGATGTTCTTAAAAAATAATCCTTGCATGTATATTGAAAGGGAATTAGTGGTACGCTATATGTCCCATTAAACAGGGTGGTTTGTCTGTTTCATCTAAAACAAACTGCTGGTTTGAGGTGACACTAGCAGTCCTCAAGAGTTTCACAGATAATTCAGTTTTCTTAACTTTGAAACCCGTCTTGACTTTTCCCGTCTCTGTTTCTGATTCCATTGATAAAGCGGGCTTACATTAGGGCTTTCAAATAATGTGCCCCATTCTGAATTAAATGCGATGGGCTTTATATGCCTGAAAGCTCAGTCTGTGCCAGAAAACCAACCAGGTAACATAAACTACCAGTTGTATCAAGAAGATTAATCAAAAGTTCAACCACAATGGTGCTTGATGCTCATTAATAGTTTCAAAAAGTGTGTGGTCAGGGTGCAATTTGAAAAGGTTCATTAACCAAATATAAGTGGAGGTGTTTTTATATATTTGAGCCAGTTTGAGCCTTTGTGGATGAGATAAAAACTTTACTTACTTGTCATAAGTAGTCTAATAGATGCAGAAAAAATGTTTTGGAGATTCATGTGTGTTGTTTGTCAGTCTACTAGTCCAGTCATTTTCAGAAAAAAGCTACTAAGATGTCTTAATGACAGTTTTGAGTAAAAATTAAATTAGACTGACCAGGCAAAAAAGGTTAGCTGTCATCGTCTTGTCTTTGTGTGTTCACCCATCACTCAGTTCTGTGGTTCTGGACTCTAGATTTGAAAGGATGAACTCTTAAAGCATCTTTTCTCTGAAAATTTTGTTCTCATTTGCCTTTCCCTCTTGTTTCATGCAGCGTACATAGAGGATGTTGCGCGTTGCGTAGACCAGAGCAAGCGCCTCATTATAGTTATGACACCCAACTACGTGGTGCGGCGAGGTTGGAGCATCTTCGAGCTAGAGACCCGACTGCGCAACATGCTGGTGAGCGGCGAGATCAAAGTCATCCTGATCGAGTGCGCCGAGCTGCGCGGCATCATGAACTACCAGGAGGTGGAGGCCCTCAAACACACCATCAAAACCCTCACCGTCATCAAGTGGCGGGGCCCCAAAAGCAACAAGCTCAACTCAAAGTTCTGGAAGCAGCTGCAGTACGAGATGCCCTTCAGGCGCACAGAGCCCATGCTCACGCACGAGCCGGCGCTGGACGTCAGCGAGCAGGGTCCCTTCGGGGAGCTGCAGACCGTCTCGGCCATCTCCATGGCGGCGGCCACTTCCACGGCCATGGCCACCGCCCATCCAGAGCTGCGCTCCTCGTTCCACAACACCTACCACACCACCATGAGGCAGAAACACTACTACCGCAGCTACGAGTATGACATACCCCCGGGGGGTACCCTACCGGCTCTCTCGACTCTGGGGAACCAGCACACCTACTGCAACATCCCGTTAACACTGCTGAACGGGCAAAGGCCTCCAGGGAAGAGCCGAGAGCACAGCCTGGAAGAGGCTCACGCCAACAACGCCATGCTCCCGCTGCTGCCAAGAGAAACCAGCATCTCCAGTGTCATCTGGTAGTGACGAGCGGTCTCGACATCGGCTTCGGGAAGACCAAGGTCAGGGTCGGAGATGACGAGAACCAACAGGAGAAATTGGATCTAGAAATGGATCTGTTCGGGTCCATGCATCACCACTGATGGAAAACACAGGAGGTGGTGTGGGGACGGGTTCCCCCTGTCTTTGAAGAGGACCAGTCTCTTCTAATGAGCGATTTTATTTTCTATGTGGAACTGAAGAAAACATTAAAAGAAGCAGACTTTTTTTTCTAAACGGATAAATAAAGTGCAGGAACTCCGCTTTAAGGAAGACAAACACAATTCCAACATCTTCACATAAAGAAATGTGCATACATACAAACAAAAGGAAAACAGGGTCTGTACATATATTTGCATTTTATCGGTAGCATCAGTGTTTTCCTGTTTTGTTCTTTAGTCTGTTTAATTCAATCAAGTCTGTTGCCTTCTCCACTGTAGGACTTTGCTTTAAAAATGTGACACAAACTTGTATATTTTTTATTCTTTTCAGTTTTTTTTTTAATCCTGCTTTTAATACGCTTGATTGGAAAGCCACTATGCCATGTACTTGCGCTGTTGTGTTCTTTCTATTTGTTTTATCTTGTTTGTTTGTTTGTTTTAAATCATTCTGTAGTTTAAGCTAACTTTTTTTTATGAAACAAAAGAAAAACTTTTTGGAAGACCTGGACATCTTCAGGAGATGTGAAGAGCTGAAACCTGTTTTTGTTTGCCTGTACAAGGTGTATCTATTTTAAAACAGAACTCCTTTGGAAAAAAAAAAAAATTTGAATATGCAAAAAGACTGAGGAGCTGGCATTAAAAACATCCGGCCGCGTGGGGCACAGATGACAGAAGTGGTCGGAGAGAAGCGCCGGTCTCCTCCAATCAGACCGACAGACTGGCAGATCTCTTTCTGACGCTTCGGTTTTTGTTTGTTTTTTTTGTCTTTTTTTTTTTTGTTGTTTTTTTCTATCGAAACAAACAGCCTGGCTGTTTTAGACTGATAGAGATATGCCTCACCTTAAAAAGAAAATCTGTAGATTATTTAAAAAAAATTCTATTTTTATAACAGAAAAGAGTTTGCTTGAGAGGTCATACTTATTTGCATTTCATCTTCCATATAGAAAGGGGATCGATGTCTGCACTCTGTTGGTTTTGTACTCTTGTGAAAGTGGTTTCTGATTCGCTGAGAGACAAGGCCAGTTTTTGAACCCCACCTGACAGATACACCCTCTACTACTCCAGGTTCTAAAGAAACGGGGAAAAAAAAAAACATTTCCAAATGTTTTTGTTTTTGATGCATCGTTTTATTGCCATCTTGAAAATTCAGGTTTATTCAGTTCATAGAGATAGTTCACGTTTTAATGAGAAAAAAGAAACCAGGTGTGTTTTGAAAGACTTTTTAAATATATTTGAAGGTGTGATTTTTAAGTATGCATAGCAAATAGATATGTATTCTATATATAATATAGATATTTATATAAATATATAAACACAATTTTCACTTGGAAAGAAATGTCTATCTTTATAGAAACACAATCATTATCAGTTTCCCTTACTTTCTCACTGCACATTAAAAGCATTGATTTCCTTTGAATGGTTTCCTTTTGTGTTCAGCTTTCACTAATTGCTGCCAATAATTCATAACACCTATAATACCCCAATTTACAAACCTAACAGACAGAGTAAACGTTTTTCCTATAACATGTTTTTACTGGCTGTGAGCGTAACTGCATTTAAATCAGTGAGGCTGCAGGAAAATGTGCCACATGGATTTGTCATTTCACGTCTGATCAACTGATCATTTGGTGACTAACACATACAACCCATTATACAAACCAAACATAAGGTTTATACATGTGAGGCAAGGACAAAAAAGGCTTTTTTTCAAAACTGCAGCTTATAGAAAAACAAAATGGTCTCTATGCTGATATTTTCCTAAGCTACAATGAGATGTATTAAAATCAGGGATTTTGTGACCAGAACCATTTGATATTTAGTTATTGTTGAGTTATTCATGCTTTATTGTGAGAGACTGTATTTGCTGTTGCTCCCTGTCTTTGTGTGTTATGTGACATGCTCTCTGCTGTGGAGGAAGGAGAGACGTTCAAAGAGCAGCCGAAACACCAGTCACATAAAGAAAATTCTCTAAGGAACATTTATGGAGCTCAAAAACACTAGTCTTTCCACTATTGATTGTAAATGCACTAAAATATGCTACAAGCTAAATTATCACAGAATCGTCACAACATGCTAACATTACTGTACTTCTATGAAAATGTTGACAATTTTTTTTTCAAATGTTATGTTCTCACAGTTCCCTGAAACCAAACAAAATAATTTTACAAGGCAAGTTATCAATGTTGGATAAAAACAAGAGTAAAAGCATTAGCTTAGCATCGAGCTAAATGAAAACAGTCGTCACCAGAGGAAAGGCAGGAGCTGAATGGAGTCAGATGTTTTAGAAGCAAGTGATAAAGCTGCAGACATGTGGCTTTATCACATGTTTGTGGCAATGTTTATAGAACATTGTAAGAGCTTTCCATAATTGAAGCAATTATGGAAAAAGGAGTTTTTGATGCAAAAAGGAGTTTTTGCAGAGTGTCCTGCAAAAACTCCTTTAGGGACAAAATATCTTTCACTATCAAGACAAATTGCAGATACTAAATCATCCTAACCCTCAACAGTGAGTGGTTTAAGTGAGCCATGAACACAGTTTTCATCTGAACTATGTAATCCTGATGAAATCTGGTGGATTATTTTACTGCATCTTTGTTGAGTTGTAATGGAGAGCATCAGCTGTGACTTAAATTTTTATAGAATTAAAAAAGTAAATCCTGATCTGGAAATCCCTCATAAAACATAATTGAATTATATCTCTCTGAACTAGTTTTTGATTTGCTCCAAAGCAGTTTGGGCCAAGGCCACTGTAATGCCTGACCTGCTTTCTTGACAGGTTTGAATCATATTTTTTCTTCCCCATTTGTGTTGTTTGGTTCCCTGACAAGACAAAATCCCCTTCATATAAAAGACCTGTATATAACGGCAGGAAATCTAAAACATGCTGCTGTAAATGGCACATTTACAGAGCTACCAGTCAGAGCAAAAACAGATAACATTTCAAAGGCTATTTTGATATCAGAAGTAGAAATTAGATTGCTGAAAAAGAAAAGAAATGAGATAGAAAACTATATATGACATAAGAGGATGATTAATGATCCCAAAAAAAGAAATTGTACCAGAAATACATCACTGAAACGACAAATGAACACCATATTCCTATAAGGAGGCATAAGATTATGATTGACTGTAACAAAACTGTGCCATGAATATATCCAGGAAACAGTCGTGCAAATGCACACTGTTCCAGGAAAAAGGCATCTGTGTCTCAATGGAGCGAAGTACATATGTGACAATCAGGAGGGAGAGTTCAATTCCCTCTTCCCTTTGATGTATATTGTCCTTGGGCAATGCATCAGACAACAGGCTTATTCTGTGCATGCTGTATGGACGTTTTGGTGCTTGAGTGTGTGAATGGTGACTCTGACTCAGTGGAAAAGCTGTTTGAATGGTTGGAAAGATTAGAAAAATGGTATGTAAATGCAGTCCATTTACAAATCGAATTTCAGTGTTTAAGAATGAAGCCACTAATACATTTCAGACAAGTACAAACATTAACAATTACAAAAGGCTGTGTTAAATGACCAAAGAGAAGCAAAAAGTGCAGCAGGAAAGTTTCCAAATGACCACAAAAGACTCAAAATGAGGAACGAGAGAGCCATCATTAGCACAGACGTATTTGAAATTACGACAGATTGTTAAAACACAAAGCAAACCAACTGCAGTCCCAAATGTTTGCAATTTGTCAATGTTTGCAATTTGTCAAGGACAAGAGTCATTATACTAGAGGCAGAAAACTTTAAATTTCTACATGTCACCAGTTTAGACAAATATAGCCCTCTAAAACACAATGTCTAAATATCAGTGGTTTTGCTGTCTACAAAAGCTGGGCATGATTTCGTATTATTATAGTACATAAGCAGAATTACTTTTGGATGTTAGAAAACAACTTGGAATCGCACAGTTTGAGATGCACGACTGAAATGAAGCAGATCTCACTATATCTACCAGAATACTGCCAATACTTTTTATTTTCTAAGCTGTTTTTTGTCATTGTGGAGATACAGAAGGAGATTGGACTCACCATGGAGAACTTCTAAATCTCTGGGTAGGGTGCTGGTTATTTAAGTTGCCAATGTACTCTCTTCTACACAACATTATAATAGATTTCTAAATCATCAAATAAATCACCTTATGACCTCAAAACTGGAAACATTACTATCAATAATTTTGCTGTGGGTGGACATTGTGTTTGGCATTTACGCTGACTCATAAAGGAAGATTAAAAAATAACAGCACTTTCCCTTTTATTATTTTTCTATTTATATGTCAAGTATTAATGAGTGGACATTGTGATGTTGTGAAATTATCACAGAACGATGACAAAATCCCAAGGTTGGAAACGGGGGAAGGTTTTGTTTGTCTGTTGTGTGTTGGTACCTTTAAATATCCATTACCCTCTCACTGCAGCTTTAGTGTCCAAACACAAAGAGGAAATGTGCTGATGGAAGAAAGATTTTGTCTTAACGGCCTAATATGAAACATTACGGCTTTGGCTGCTCCAGATGATGAGTAAGTGCTGCCAAACACTGCCATCTCCTGGGAGTAAACAAAAACTACAAGCGTTTGTATTTGAAAGCTCAAAAAGGAGCTGAGAACAGATTCACTGATATCTAGAAACCCCAGGAGAAAACAGAGAGAAAAAATAACTGGGTCAGAGAAAAAAAAAAAAGACGAAAACAGTAAAATACACAGAGAAGGAAACTGGGTTGAAGGCAGAGTTTGTCAGTTAAGGCGAGACTGAGCAGTGGAAATGCACAAACAAATCTGCCAAACTAAAAATCTAGAATGAGCCATTTCTATAGATATAGGAGGTCTGCACACATGCAAATATTGTCAAGAACAAGACAGGGTGGTGGCTGTTGCCAGTTCGCCGCTTCCTGCCAGACATCTGGAGCTTTATTAGCCGTCACAGGATTAATAGACTCTTTATTACCCAGAGCAATTAAGGAGTTAATTGCTGATAAAATAGGGCCCATTGAGAATGAACATGCAAAGAAGATAGATTTGAACAAGAACATAATCAAAGCGAAGCAGACGGCGGCATATGTGCAATTGTCTGTGTGTGTCTAACTGTGAGTGTTTGTGTGTGTGTGTTGCCAGTTTATGAATCTCTCTGGGTTTTTTTCCCTCTCAATCTCTGTTATCCTGCAATGCCTTGCCAGACCACCAGGAGGTACATGAGAGTTATTCGCATGAACTTCAAACATTACTTAAATCCCAGTTTATCACTGACATCACCTTCCTTCCTTTGAAGGTTGCATTCAGTTTTGATTGAGCGCACGCCTCTGTGAGAAGGAATAAAACACACACACACACAAGGACAAAGCTTCTGCAGTTCTGATGGATGCTTAGAAAACTGGACTGCAGTTGCAAACGTCTGTTTGGAGAGCAGCAGAAACATAAAGACAAAATAAAAAACAAACATTTGTCATTTTAGACCCAGAAGACACCGAGCTGCTTCATGCTTGGTGTCTTGGCAGGGAATTATATTTTTATGTTGTTTCGTTAAAACAACTATTTTGTGAAATCTGGACGTTTCTGGAGGAAAACAAAAATTTCAGCCAGACTTCCAAATGAAACGCCTTCAGATGAATGATTGTTCAGAGATTAGTATATGGTAGATTTCCAAAGTTTAAATACTCCTGCTGAACTAGCTGCCATGCAAAACATATGGCACTGGCAGATAATTTCACCTTTTTTACATATCTAAAAACACAACACAATCCAACCAAACAAACAAATGTCTGCTGGGGAAAATGTAAAGTAAGGATGCAATAATCTTGTTGCATAGGTGTGCAAAACTAAGACTTTTCTCAAGCTACTTTTCATTCACTTCTTCTTGATTTCTCATCTGCCATCAAACACTGAATCTAAGATAAAACAAAACTCAATCACCTTTTAGAAAATACATTTTCTTTCCGTCTAATTATTTGTATCTTTCAGCTGATGCTTCAACTCCCAGAAAAGTTGCAAAGGATCAAAAGTGATCGTACTGTATAAAGGTATCAGTCAGGAGCAAAGAACAAAACAATCTCCAGGATATTATGTCACACATATGAAATCAACAGCGATTT